GAGGGAGGGAGGAAAGGAAAGAAGGAAGAAGGGAGAAATACTAGAGAAGAGAAAGCAAGAGAAAGGAGAAGGAAGGAAGGAAGGAAGGAAGGAAGGAAGGAAGGAAGGAAGGAAGGAAGGAAGGAAGGAAGGAAGGAAGGAAAAAGAAAGAGGGGGGGAAGGAAAGGAAGGAAGGAAGAAGTGAGAAATACTAGAGAAGAGAAAGCAAGGAGAAGGGAGGGAGGGAGGGAGGGAGGGAGGAAGGAAGGAAGGAAGGAAGGAAGGAAGGAAGGAAGGAAGGAAGGAAGATTAGGAGCCACCAGTATCAATAACACCCATTACTGTTCAAGTGGCTAAGTTCTTAAGTGGTACTTTCGGTAGACAGTTCATTAAAAAAAAAAAGCTAGTAGTCAGTCCAGTGTTTCTTAAATAACGTTGAGTTTGCTTTTCAAAGGACAAAAGAAAAAAAAATGATTCCAATTTCCATATTTCTTAGGGCATGAACAGAAGCAGAAGGAAGCTGAGCTACGGCACCAGCAGCTCTCTCTACAAATGGGAGGAAGCAATGACTTTACTACTCTCCTGAATATCTTTGAGCAATGCAAAGCAAGGTAGTCGGACAGTCTTCAGAGAATAAGCTGAATGTAAAACTGGGCCTTGGAATATTTAGTCCTTGGAAGACACCCAAGGCTGTTTGGCAGCAAGATCCTGTAAATATGTAGAGCAGCGGTGTCCAACCTTGGGAACTTTGAGACCGGTGGACTTCAACTCCCAGAATTCCTCAGCCAACATGGCTGGAAGTTGAATTCTGGGAGTTGAAGTCCACCGGTCTCAAAGTTCTCAAGGTTGGACACCCCTGCTCTAGAGTTTTAAAAAAATCTGTTGATAGCAAAAAGGGCAGAGGTAGAGATGGGGAACATATTTCTGCTTATCGGGAAAATTATATCAGTGTTTTTCAAATTTGGCAACTTTAAGGTGTTTGGACTTCATTCCCCAGAATTCTCTAGTCCAGTGGATTTTCACACTCAGAATTCCCCAGCCAGCATGCTTTAAGATGGCTGGATTTCTACTCCCGGAATTCCCCAGCCAGCATCTTTTAAGATACGTTGAGTTCCATCATATTATTCAGCCAGATGGATGGGCTTCCTCTCCCAGAATTCCCCAGCCAGCACAACTGGCAGAGGAATTCTGGGAGTTGAAGTCCTCACCTCTGAAAGCTATTCAGTTTGTAAAACTGTACTAAGTGGTAGAAAGCTGGTAGTAGAGGATTTTTCACGGAGATGTATGATGGTGGAAAATTTGACCCCGCTTCCCCAAAGTGGAAATCTGGGTCAGCTGGAAGTTGCAACTGTTCAAGTTGTTAAGCAACAGGTCATTAATATTTTTAAGTGCAATGAAAGCTCAGACACATGAGAACGAGAATACAGAAATTTAAATGAAAACACAGATATATGAATGAGATCCCCGAGGCTGAGGACAAAATGGGAATGTCTCAAAACAATAATAAAGGTGAATGGATATATGGGGATGAATAGATATTTGAGATATTTCAAGCACAGATTTTGGGGGAGGGGGGGAAAGAACCATTATATCTTTGTCCTGAAAAAGAAATTTAAACAATTGTTATAGATTCCACTCTAATAAATTCATTAAATAATTAATACTGGGAATTTTTGTATTTGGCATCCAAGATTTTGAATGTTAATTTCTTACTTTCTGGATGATAAACCAAACCAATAAAGCTCATTGTAAGTATTTACCTCTGGGTTTTATTTTGCAATGGAGGGCATAATAATATATTTTAAAATACATATTTTTTTCCACAAAAGGGCCAAATCTTCCAAGAAACTGAGCTTGCAAATGGGGACATCAAAATATGCCTTAAGAGAATGGGCCACCATAAGAATAAGCCACTTCATGAGATTTAAACCTTTTAAAAACATTCATATTTAATTTGAGGCTTCCTTAGGGAGCATCTGGAAGATGTTGATATTGGTTTGGTAGGTCTTCAGCTGTGCCTTGTCTAAAACAGCCTGCTCCTTCTCAGCTCAGGGCTCCAGCAAAATGCAACCTATGCGTTTTCTTCTGGGTGGGATATAATTTTACTTCTTTTCCTGCCTTGATGCTCTTCTCCAGCGAGTCTCCATCGGTTTGGTGCCAAGAAAACTGGGTCCACTGGAGAGCTGTGAAGCTGGCATTCAGTGTAGAAAGGCAGCTCCGTGAAATCATCAACAGGCTGAAACAGGTAAACCAAAGCTTGCCACTGGATCTTGATCTTCGTCCATCCATCCATGTCTGTCTATTCTATCTGTCTATCTCTATCTTTCTACTTATATCTCTCTGTCTATATATCTATCTAATATCTATGTCTACTTATATCTGTCTATCTCTATCTACTTATATCTCTCTGTCTATATATCTATCTAATATCTATGTCTACTTATATCTGTCTATCTCTATCTATCTACTTATATCTGTCTCTGTCTGTCCGTCCGTCCGTCCGTCCATCTGTCTACTTATGTCTGTCTGTCTCTCTACTTATATCTTTCTATCTATATCTATTTATCTACTGTATCTATCTGTCTCTCTACTTATATTGTCTGTCTGTCTGTCTACTTATATCTGTCTGTCTCTATCTATCTAATATCTGTCTATGTCTACTTATATCTGTCTATCTATCTCTATATATCTATCTACCTACTTATATCTGTCTGTCTATCTATCATCAAAAAGGAAAAAAAATAAATAAAGCAAAAGGCCTAAACGAAAGAGTTTTCTTCAACCCCAATCAAAAGAATGTTTCTCTCTGGGATTTTATTCTCCAGCTGCCAGACTTCCTAAAGGAGGACTTTGACGGTTCCCGAAACGAGATCCTTAGGAGGTGTCTCTGTGCAGGTTATTTTGCCAACGTGGCCCGGAGGTGAGGCCTTCCATTCGGGGAGGGATGGAGCGGGATGACCTCAGGGTAGGGCACACAGCGATGACCAAAGCACGCAGCCTTTGGGACCGTAATTTTCGCTGCAGAATTGCAAGGAGCTTTTGTAATTTCCCCCCAACTGGAGTCCTTGGGGAATTTGGGGAAACGTCCTGGCATTGGGGCAAAGCAAATTCATCTTCCTCCCATTTTTCTTCGGCTCGAATTCCAGGTCTTCAGGGAAGTCTTTTCGCACCATGGACGGCCATGGCAGCGTGGCCTATATTCATCCGTCATCTGCTGTAAGTCGCCTCTTCTGGTTAATTATTGTCGGGTGGCGGAGATTTTGATCTAAAGAACTGAGGAGAAAAATCTCCTGAGCAGAATCTTTGCATTTCTGACTTTCCCGAGTCTTCCCGTGAGTGGAGCACTGGTATCACTCTGCAACAAGATATTGCAATGTCATTGGTTCTTCTAATACAGAGTTGGGGAACAATGGTCCTTTTAGGACTTGTGGACTTCAACTCCCAGAATTCCTGAGCCAGCATGGGAGTTCTGGGAGTTGAAGTCCACAAGTCATAAAGGGACCATGGTTCTCCAATTTTGTTCTATTTAGGAACATTCCTGTTCCGGGGTCCCCAAGCTGGTTCCCTCCAAGTGGGTTGTCCAAAAAAAAAGAAGGAAACCCTTTCAGATGTTGGCCAGGGGCTGGGCTAGAAAACCTCCAGGGTCCCTTCCAACCCTATTGTTCTGTGCTCTACCTAAATCCCTGCACCATCTTTAGCTCTATGATCAGGAAGACCAGCTGGACTGGATCCTCTTCCATGATGTTGTGGTGACCTCCAAGATTTACTTAAGGACGGTGTGTCCAATTCGCTACGCCTGGGTGCAGGATCTGCTTCCTCGGCTTCACCAGATCGACGCTTACGAGCTGAGCAGCATGGCCCGGGAGAACGTGACAGAGGAGGAAATAGCTAATTGGAGGAGGAAGGAAGACCTCAAAAGACAGAATGGTGAGCTTCAAGGTGGTAGGATGTTCAGAAGGTCATCCATGTCTAGGTTAGGTGCTGAGACAGGAGGTGTCAGGCCTGTCCCGACTTGGTCTCTTAGTTAAGAGAGACCCTCGACTCCATTTGTAGTGAAAGGTGTATTTCTACTAAAAGCCAAGTGGATTGCAGTATAGCAAAGCCAGAACTGAAGTTCATGCATCAAAGTTTGCCAGTTAACTATTGTCATCATGCCCTTGTTGGAGTCCGATTCTGAGGGGGAGATTGAGCAGCTGACAGGGAGTGGGAGTGTGGATCCGGTGGCTGTGGAAGAAATGGGAGAAGGGCACAGTACGGCTGGGCATTCAGAGGATGACCCAGGGCCATCTTCTCTTCATCCTAGGGCACGCAGGGAGGAATGGAGAAGGGAGCAACGGGGTTTATGGGGGAGGAAAGGGCCCTGATCCCCTTCATGGGCTGCAGCTGGGAAGACTGTTTAAAAGGACAAACTGCGCATGGCGAAATTGGTGGAAACAAAGCGTGCATTATCTTTGTCGAGGCTTATCCAGGTTTTGGCGTCCTCCCAACTGTGGGTGCTGCATTATCTTTTGGAAGTCTGCAATTTATCATCCTGGCCTGTCGTGTTAATTACTTCAGCGTGGTTTGTCTTGTTGTTTTTTTAATTTCTAATTATCTTTACTTTGGGTTCGGACTGCATTCCTTCCCTTCGTAGACTGTTTTTGGAAGAGTTTGATCTCCAGCCAAGGATAACTGGACCTTGGGGGCCAAGTTGGAGGCATTAAAGGGAATTTATCTACTTTGGTGACTTTGTTATTTTTGTGCCACGCCCCAGGTCATTACAACTATTCCCATCCAGTTTCTCTTCTCCCCTGGGCCCTTATTGTCCAATTATATTTTAACAAATTGTTTTGGGAACATCTTTTCAATAGCGGGTTGGTTGGTGAGCGGTTGCATTCTATTCCCAGAGCTTTGATCTTGAGACGGTGTCTCTGGAAGGTGCAGTGAGTTGGTAGCCTTCTTCCTCCCCTCCCATCCAGCTCCCTCCCCTGTACATGGCCGACTGACAGCTAGCGAATGTGAAGCGTAAGCGTACGATGGCGGCTCTGACAGGAGGAGATGGTGGATGGTTGTAGATGGGAGCGTTGTGGCCTGCCAGCTGCCAGTGGAGCTGGCAGCAGACTTGGACAATGAGGAGGTTGGGGAGCCAGTTTTGGAGTCTGGGGAAGGCTCTGATGGATGCTCTGTGTTGGACACAGAGATAGAGCCAGGGCCGTTCTGACATTTCCCAGCCACCGGAGAGGCAGCTGCCTTTGGAGGCTGCTATGAGTGAGGAGGAAGAAAAGCCGGGGCCTGTTCCAGATGCACGTAGGCGCAGAGCTGTTAGGAGAGGTGAACAACAGAGGATAAGGAGTCAACTTGGGAAGCAAAGCACACTTGGACGCTGAATGGTCCCTTCCTGGCTGGGGAACAAATAGAAGGAAAGGGGCATGGTTGTTGTAGTAGGAGACAACAAAATTCGTCTTGCTCATTGTGTTTCATGCCACAAAGACTGTTTGCCAGAACTTAATTGGCAGCCTTTCGGCTGTGAGCTCCCAGCCTTGCAATTATTGCAAGTAACTGATAAGGTCTGTTACTGCAGTTAACTCTTTGAAGGACTATTGCCTGGATTTTTCGGGGGCTGAATGCCATTAATTCACAAGAGGTAAATAAAGGTTTTTTTTTGTGTGTGTGACAGGGAGCCTGTTTCTTGCTTCTGCTAAGGCTGGGTCACAACAGGGAGTTCTGCTCCTTCGTCCTTTTGAACTCTGGTCTTTTGTCTTAGAAAAGGCACCAGGTGAACCTGCCAGGAAGACGGAGAAGCGGAACGATGAGCAGTCGATCAGAGATGCTCGCGCCCGGTACCTGGAGAGGAAGCAGCAAAGAATACAAGGATCCAGCAGTTCTTCTAAGGACTCCAGCTAGGCCTGTCAACCCTGCAGCCATTGCCATCAATCTGATTCCCATTGGGATCATTCGCATTTGGGACAAGAGTGTACAGGGTTGGTCCTAACCGGGAGGAAAAGTAGAGGATCCAGGACCCACAAACATTGGAAGAATCACTTTATCCCAGTAGGGGAATAAATACGATCTGGTATATGATGACAATCAGTTATTATTGGGCACACTGACGATATATCTGAATAAAACTCCACATTGGCGACAGGAAGGGCATCCGGCCATTAAAACACTCTGCTTGCTCCATTCAGTTGCCCAGGCTCCACCCCGCAAGGGATTATGGGGTCGTTAAAATGAAGATGATATGATGACAATCAGTAGGAATGAAGCTGTTAGTGGGAATTTGTGAGAATTTCTGCTTTCCTACTGAGGCCATTGTCCCTTGCAGTTTCCATTTTGAGGGATCAGTGTTATATCTTACCCTCTAGGTTGGTCGCTAAGAGGCAGGTGAGGCTGTTTGGATTGCATTGGTCCCAAACTCCAAGGAGAATATTTGCAGCTCAGGGTTCACAGGAGGGGTCCTTGGTGCTCTCTGAGCTTGCTTGTTTTCTTGCAGACGTTTCATGACCCAACTAGGTAACGTCATCAGTGCTAGCAAAGAGTGCTGTTTGCAGTCCGTTTATATTCTGGTGACTTGTCTGTCTGGGTGGGTGGGTGGGTGGGTAGTCTTAGAGATTCTTGGGTTGGGCTGATCTTGATTCAAGAAACTGCCAAAAAGCCATCAGAATATAAACTGACAGCAAATGTCACTCCTTACTAGCATTGATAACGTTACCTAGTTGGGTAATGAAACGTCTACAAGAAAACAAGCAAGCTCAGAGAGCACCAGAGAGACCCTACAGTTGTTGTTGTTGTTGTTGTTGCTATTGTTGTTGTTGTTGTTGCTGCTCTTCTTCTTCTTCTCCTTCTCCTTCTTCTTCTTCTCTTTCTCCTTTTCTCCTCCTCCTCCTCCCCACAAACCCCACTCCCTTCTAGCACTAATGAGGTGATGTAGTTGGGTCATGAAACATCTACAAGAAAACAAGTAAGCTCAGAGAAGACCAAGGACCCCTCAAAACCCAGTGTTTTTGAAGTCATGTCTGAACTATAGGTAGTCCTCGGGTTATGACTGTAATGCAGCCCATCCATCATGGTCATAACTGCGACGATTGTAAATCAGGACTGATTTTATGACCCATTTTTGTGGTGGTCTTTAAGCAAACCAATGGTTTGCTATGAGCCAGTTTTGCCCAAAACTTAAGTCAATTTGGTCGAAAACGTCCGTAAAATGCAGCTGTGTGACATCCAAATGTTGCAAATAGCCATAAATGTGACTTATTGCCGGGCGCCTGAATTATGACCGCATGATAGCAGAGGGCACGGCTGTCAGAACTTCGAATCAGGGTTGCAGATATACCCCCAGGGAGTTTTGTCCTAACTTCAAATGTTCATTAAGCAACCGGTCATATAGAGGACTAGTTTGCAATTCTGCTGAAATCAGTAGCAAACTGGTGAGAATGTTTGATGTCTGAACACCAAGGCACTGTCGAAATAACAGATAATACATAATCAGAGTTGGGAGGGGTCTTGTAGGTCATCTAGTCTAACCTGCCCAAGCAGGAGACCCTACACCATTTCTGACAGATGGGAGTCCAATCTCTCCTTGAAAGTCTTAAGTGATGGCGCTCCCACAACTTCCGAGGGTAACTTCTGTTCCATTAGTTGATCGTTTTGTCAGAAAATTTCTGCTTATTTCCAGGTTGAATCTCTCCTTGTTCAGTTTCCATCCATTATTCCTTGTCTGGCCTTTGGGTGCTTTAGAAAATAGCTTGATCCCTTCCTCCTCTCTGTGGCAGCCCCTCAAATATTAGAAGACTGCTATCCTGTCTCCCCTGGTCCTTCTCTTCACTAGACTAACCAGGCCCAGTTCCTGTAAACGTTCTTCATATGATTTAGTCTCCGGTCCCCTAATCATCCTGGTTGCTCTTCTCTGCACTTTTTCAACATCTTTTTTATAGTGTGGTGACCAAAACTGGATGCAGTACTCTAGGTGTGGCCTTACTAAGGCATAAATAAATCCTGATTCTTCTCTTCCCCAAATTGGGCACGAGGGGGGAAGAAATCCAGAAATGAATATATTTAACTATTTGCAGATCTTGTTTCTTGTTTTCATGTAAGGCCATTTATTTATTTTCCCTGGCTGGTGCCATTTGAATTTAGCGTATCATCCCCCCTGATTATTTGGGTAAGTTACATTTTCAAACAGGAGCGTTTATGTACAGTTTTCTAGTTTCATGTTACTGAACGGTATTGTGTGCCTGTAATATATTCTGCAGCAGCTGCCTTCGGTTTGTAAAATAGGGGAATAAATTTTGTACTCTTGCTATAAATCTCTGATAGCTCAAATGGCATTCCTGAGCATACTGTCTCTGTCTGTTGGAGAATGCTAGCCAAGAATGAGCCTTGGTCTTAGGTGACTGCAAATTTTCTTTTTTTTGTGGAGGGAATATTTAATTTATTTATTATCAAATGCATCTCCAAGCCAATTCTTAGCGGATTATACAGGGAGGAGGAAAGGGGGGAAAATGCAAAATAAAACATACCTGGGACCAATAATAAAAACGTGCAACGGCACTGCAACAATGCAAGGGAATAAGAATGAAGAAAGAGGACAACGTTGAGTTTAAAAAAGGAAAGAAAAATAAGAACTTTCAAAAAGCTGGAAAAAAAAATCCATCTGACCAGTACCATTTTTTCTACATAGTCCTCGACTTACAACAGTTCATTTAGTGACCATTCAAAGTTACAAGAGCACTGAAAAAAGGGACTTACAACCATTTTTCACACTTATGCCCATTGCATCATCTCCATGGTCGTGTGATTTACATTTGGGTGTTTGACAACTGACTCATACTTATGACCGTCGCTGTGCCCCAAGGTCATGTGATCATCTTTTGCGCCCTTCTGACAGGCGAAGTCAATGGGGCAGCCAGATACACTTAACAGCCGTGTTACTGGCCTAACAATTGCAGCGATTCATTTAACAACTGAGGCAAGAGAGGTCATAAAATGGGGCAAAACTCAAATTAACAAATCAGCAACATAAATTTTGGGCTCAGTTGTGGTCGTAAGTTGAGGACTACCTGGATTGTATTAACCCTGTACGTACACTTGGTCCTTGACTTATAGCTGGTTGCTTACTGACTGTTTGAAGTTATGACAGACTTCTATTGTGCTGTGATAACAATCATGAGTTTTTGACTTCCCACTCTGTGGACACGGTGGAGGAAATTATTATTATTATATATATTTTTTTCTCTCCACTCTTTTTCGATCGATCCATCAAGTCAAATTTGGGGACATACGTTAGGTCAGCATTCCAAATAATGTACCCATTGAAAGCAGAACTCTGAGGCAGGTAGATTCCTTAAAGAACAATTTATTGGATAACACCATATTGGCACAACCGGTAAAAACGACTCTGAAAGTTCCCGCAGATTTCACCTAATTAAAAAGTGGAAGTTCCGCCTCCCCCCCCACCGGGTCATCGGTTACATTGTCCAATAGTGGTGCTGGCAGGTTGCCTGGTTACTCCGCTCCTCCTCTTATCAGCCACCTGTTGGAATGACCTTGGTTCCCATAAGAAAACATTTTATTTTGATGGCAAAGCTGAGCTATCTAATTTCCCCCCTCCCGTTCTCTCCTCTCTGCCTTGTGGCAACCATGAAGGCTCAAAGATGGCTTCATCCAGGCTCGCTTCAGGGTTGACACGGTATCTAATACTCCTGCCTCCTATTCTGCCCAACAACAACCCTGCGACGTACGTTGGGCTGAGAGAAAGTGATTTTAGGAAGAGGCATAATGAGCGAAGAAACACCCAAAATAGTGTAATTGCGTGTCCCCGGTGAGAATGGATGTTCACTGTTTCTTACAAAAATAGAGGGTTGGGAGAGGATGAACAAAATACAGATAACAGAGAATCAGAGTTGGAAGGGACCTTCGTGGTCATCTAGTCTAACCCACCCTACACCATTTCTGACAAATGGTGGTCCAATCTCTTCTTGAAAGTCTGAAGTGATGACGTTCCCACAACTTCTGAGGGCAAGCTGTTCAGGTAGTCCTCAACTTACAACAGTTCATTTAGTGACCATTCAAATGTACAACAGCGCTGAAAAAAGTGACATGGCCGTTTTTCACACTTATGACCATCGCAGCATCCCCGTGGTCACGTGATCAAAATCCGAATCTTTCTGATGAGCCAAGTCAATGGGGAAGCCAAATTCACAACCATATTATTAATTTAACAAGTGCAGTGATTCACTGAACCAAGGCAACCAGAGGCGTCGCAAAATGGAGCAAAACTCACTTCACGGATTTCTCACTTGGCAACATAAATTTTGGGCTCAATTGTAGTCACGAGTCAAGGACCACCGGTCTACGTAGGTGCTATTGCTATAGGGGCGAGAAGGGAATTTTCACATATAGTTGCTTTGTTCTATTGTGACTTTTAAGTTTCTTTTCTGCCCCAACATCTAAATTTAGACTGCGGCTTCTACAAAGACCGGGCCTGGATGTTTCTGTTTTGTGATGTGGTAAAGTGCTTTATGTATTGATCGTACTATTTATTAATATTGCACGATCATCCTTCAGCCCAGGGAGGTAGAAAAGTGCAACCTGCCAAATTCTACTTGGGAATGCAGGAATAATCGTGTAGCCCTTGACTTTGTTTGTTTGTTTGTCAAACATGCGCAAGATAACAAGTATGAACATAAACATGATCAAAGGAAGTAAATACAGGTAAATGGGGACAGTAAGACAGAGCCAGTAGGCACGTTGGTGGGCTTATGCACGCCCCCTTTAAGGACCTTTTAAGAATGGGGTGAAGTCCACGTAGACAGTTTGAGGTTGAAGCTGCGAGGGGTTGAGGCTGTAACAACGGAGTCGGGTAGAGCAGTGGCCCCCAACCTTTTTTGTACCACGGCCCGGTACCGGCATCACAAAATGATCCACGGACCGGTACCGGCATCAGCACGCACGACCAAGGCAAGGCGAGCCGAGCGACCGGCCAGCCAGCCATCCCCCGCTTCTCCCCGCCACCTTCAACTCCTCCTTTGTACCTTTTTTGTGCTTTTCGAGCTCTTTCTTAATCTCCTCCTGAGTAACGCGAGACTCCACCGCCATCGGGACGGCTCTTCGTACGAAGCCGCCCCCCACCCTTCGACGAAACTAAGGCGCGAGGATTCCTTCAGCACCCAAACGCCGCTTTCCAACAACCGACAAGCTCACCCGGAAGCACTTTCTCAAGCGCTGTCGAAACAAGATGGCGGCGCCCAAACAAACCGGCGGCCCGGTACAAAATGATCCACGGACCGGTACCGGTCCGGGGCCCGGTGGTTGGGGACCACTGGGGTAGAGCATTTCAGGCGTTGACCACTCTGTTGATGAAATCGTATTTTCTGCAATCGAGTTTGAAGTGGTTTACCTTGAGTTTGTAATCAATTGTTTGCCTGTGTGTTATTGCAGTTGAAGCTGAAGAAGGCAAGTTGACAGGCAAGACATTGTAGCAGACAATTTTGTGTACTATGCTTAGATTGGACCACAGTTCCAGGTTGTCCAGGCCCAAAATTTCGAGCCTGGAGCCGTAGGGAATTCTACTGTGGGTGGAGGAGTAGAGAACTCTTCCCGAGAACCAGTGGTAGGGTTCAAATTTTTTTACTACTGGTTCTGTGAGCGTGGCTTGGTGAGGGTGGCTTGGTGGGGGTGGCAGGGGAAGTTTACTGCAAAATCCCCATTCCCTCCCCACCCCACTAACCTGCTTTCCAGCTTCTTTGTCCTGTGCAGGGCAACAAAAGGAGACCCAGCCGATCAGGTGGGACTCGGGAGGCAGGAAATAGAGGGGGGCAGGGGTGGTCAGAGGTGGTATTTGCCAGTTCTCTGAACTACTCAAAATGCTGAATACCCACCTCTGCACTGAACCTGCTCAATCGTGTTAAGCGTCTAATATACGGTGCAGCTTCCAGGCGGACGAGCTGTATTCAAGAATTGGTCTGGCAAAGGTTTTGTATGCCCTAGTCGTTAACAATTCAATTGTTACCGGAGAAGAAGCTTCGCAAAATAAGGTTAACAACTTTATGAGTGCAATTGGGACCAGAATTTCTGTGGCCAAGCAAGGCAGTCTTTAAGTGAGTCACGCATGGTTTTACGACCCGCTTTTGTTTATTAGGCAAATCCCTGCCGATGTTAAGTGAATTGTGGTCATTTTAAGCAAATCTGGCTTCCTCCATTGACTTTGCTTGTCAGCAGCTGTCTGGGAGGGTCACAAATGACAATCCCTTGACCAAGGATGCTACCATTGTCATAAATACACATGCCAGTTGCCAAGTGTCCAAATTTTGGATGCTGCAACCATCATAAGGGTGAGAACCAGCCATCAATCCCATTTTTTAGTGTCGTAAGTTTGAACGTCACAAAACGAATGGTGGTCAGTCAAGGTCTACCTGCAGTCCAGGCAGTCCTCGACTGACAAGTTCATTTAGTGACCGTTCGAAGTTACGAAGGCACTTGAGAAATGTGACTTAGGACCGTTTTTCAGAGTTATGGCCTTTGCAACATCCCCAGGGTCATGTGATCAAAATTCAGACAGTTGGCAACTGGTTCATATTTACGACGGCTGTAGTTGTTGGAAGTTAAAAACCCACCCCTCTCCTAGAAAAATGAAATATCCTAAAAAGGCAGAATATTTCCTCTAAAAAGAGAAGTAGAAACTCAGAAACAGAAACTCACCCCCACCTTTGTTAATGGATGGGCCATTAAGGCCTGGGACAGAATATTTTACATAACAAAGATCTACTCCAGGTAAACCCATAATAGGAATTGCCCAAAGCCCTTTCATTACATCATCATCATCCAGCAAGGCTCAACCAAGCCCACAGAGTTGCCCCTGCATGGCTCCATGGGAGTCGGACAACCAATCGGAATACACGTTCAAATTCAAATCCCAACAGAGGGTATAAAACCCAGGGACTCTCAGCCTTCCTGCTTCTTCTTGATCTCTTCCTTCACCTTGAACCATGTCATCATCCCTTCCTTCTTTGGAGCTCCAAGCCACCATTAAACCATCTTTCCAAATAGCTTCCATGTTTCCAGTGTCTTTTTCCCCACTTGGAACTGAACCCAGAAGGATAATTAGAATAGAGAATAGAATAGAATAACAGACTTGGAAGAGACCTTGGAGGTCATCTAGTCCAACCCCCTGCTGAAGCAGGAGAGTCTAGCCTCTACCTAGGATCGAACTCACAGCCTTCTGATGGTGATTCTTCCAACACAGTGTTCCAGAGTCATGTGATCCCCTTTTGCGACCTTCTGACAGACAAGTCAATGGTTAAGCTGGATTCACTTAACCAAGCAATTAACTTAACTGCAGTGATTCATTTAACAACTGTGGCAAGAAAGGTCATAAAGTGGGGCAGAAGTCTTGCTTAAGCTGCATTATTACCTTTATTGTCAGAGCACAACACGTTTGCAGAAAAGTTAGGCTCAATTGTGGTTGTAAGTCGAGGGCCACCTGTTGTGTTTCCCTCACCTCTAAGAAACACTGGTTTGAATCAAGCCAACATGTGCAGTTAAACCACAATGCTTTGCTTAATTCGGATGAATGTGCCCAAAGCAACACCATCACACTTATTAAATAATATGATAGAATGCCCCTGTATTATTATATATATAGGTTTTCATCCTACTTTCATTTTCTTTTTCTAAGGTCACCGATTCAAGGTCACCCTGACCTGAGGCGAAAGCGTGATTCGAACCCCCAACTCCCGCTTTAACTCCCCTCCCCCACCTTCCCCGGCTCCATTACAAGCAGCGCCGTCGGCGGACTTCGCTCCTTTCGCATTCCACCGGGAAAACGAACAAGGCGCTATATTTCCTCCGCCCTAGAACGTCCACCTTGCGGATCTTTTCCCCCACCATTCTAACCTCCGATCATGTGACTCCCCAGATGGGCGGGGCTCCTCTCGGAACGGAACTGACGTCCCCCCCGCCTATGTCGCATGATGTGGCAAAAAAAAAAAGTGGGGGGACGGAGGGAGAACCAGCGTTTCGTGAGAGGGGGGGCGGGGCTTCGGGTTGGACGACGAACCACGACGAAGACGCGGGCCGGCCGAAAGGAAGGGGTGGGTGGGTGGGTGAAGAAAAAAAAAGAAGTCCCTTCCGGCTTTCTGTATCCTTCCGCCGAATCCATTGATTCCTTAAAGGAGGGCCGCACTCCTTCTCTTCCTCCTCGGCGCGATCCTTCCGCCGTTCGGCTAATCCGCGGCAGGTGAAGGCGCAGGCAGAGCGAGGATAAGGCGGAGGCGCGGCCGCTGCGCTCCCTTCCCTGAGGAGGCCCGTCGGTGTCCTTCCGCTCGCAGAGGGGACTCCTGCTGCTGCTGCTTTTCCTCCTCAGCGTTTTTTTTCTCTCTCTCTCTCTCTTTCTCTCTCTCTCTCTTTCGGCCTGCCCCGCCATTACGAGCTGCCCTCGCCGGCTCCTCCGCCCTCCGCTTCGCCGTCTCTGCGTTCCTGAGGAAAGGCCAGCGCCCCATCCCCGGCGTCGGGCTGGAGCCCCCAAACCCCAACAACGCTTCCGCCGCCATGGCACAAATATTACCCATCCGCTTCCAGGAGCATCTCCAGGTGAGGCGGGCCTGCACCCCACGGGGGGGCTCTGTCGGCCTGGCCCTCGGCGACGGGGGTGGAGGTTGGCGACGGGGGGGGTGCGAGACCCGAGAACACGTGTCGGGGGGAACGTGTGAAGCCTCTTTCGAGGCCCTGGTCTCCAGAGGCTGCTTTTTTTCTCTCCCTCCTTCCCGCTGCTGGTTTGACAGTTGGGGGTCGGCAAGGTGGTCATTCAAACCCCTGGTCAGTCAAGCCCACCACACTCCAATTCCCTATTTACAGTGGCAACTGGCCATGCATGGATACCTATATTTTGCTTAGTAAATGAATAAACTCCCTTCTCGGGGCGCCTGACCGGGGGTTGGAAGGGCGGCCCGAGAAGCGGGTTTATTTATTTATTGAGCAAAATATAGTTATCATAGGCAGTTGGCATTGTAAATAGGGAATTGGGGTGTGTGTGTGTGGGGGGGGGGTTGAATGACCACCTTGAATGAACCAGGGTTTGAATTGACCACTTTGAATTGTGACCACCTTGGATACATGTGTCTTTCTTCCCTAATTAAATCAAATTAGGCTTCAATTACTCAATTTGCAGGCTCCTTCCCCCTCGCCTTTTCTCCTCCTGAGGAGTTGGGATAGGAAGATTAGAAATGTGTACATGTCGCCTGCCTGTATTATGGCATTTTGGATCCTGGGCTCTGCTGTGGCAAAAGAAGCAAAAAAATGGGGGAGGTTGAAAGTGTGAGGGTTTAAATGTTGATTTGTTTTAAGATGGGAAAACTAAAATGGCTTTCTGGGCTTGGGGAAGCCTGTTTGGGCACTCTGGGTGTTCATGCACGTACTTGAATGAACCTGGCTTGATTTCCTGGTATCTCCATTTAATCTTGCCTATGCTGGCTTCCTCTTTCACCGGGTCTTGGCTTTCAACAGGTGTACAAGATGGTAAGTGAAGGTAGGCAGGTTCCTGGTTTCCTTCTCCAAGTTTTGGTTTTCCCTGTGAGTTGGAATGGGGAGGGTTCCTATGGGAAAAGAGGAGGGTATTTATTCTGGGTTAAAGTGGCCAGAGAAAATTGGCCGAAGCAAGTGTGGGAAGAGGAAGTGTTTGAAAGGAGCTAAGATGAAAAGGAAAGATGTTAAATTCAAATGTGTGTGTGTGGTATCCTGGGTGCAAATTGGAGCAGGTGTGGTGGCTGAAACTCAGGGAAGTAATTCAGAAAGGTTGGCATGAAGGTGGATGGGTGTGAGTGGTTTAGCAGAAATCTAAGACAAAAGTGGCTAGGGAGTTGACTTCCGTATTTCTCCTTGGCAAAGGAGTCAAGGGTAGTTCTGCAGGCGACTTGGGGAGGCAGGCATTATCTGTACAACCCGGCTTGATGCCGGATATGGAGGGAGCAAATTAATGAAACTATTTGTGAATGGGGGACTGAGTTGAACTGGCAGAATTAGGAGTGCAAAGCTGAGGAGGAAAGGTGTGAGTTGCCACTGGATGGGAGACAAGGTAGATCGGCTTGTATAACAGGTTAGCTAAGAATGGTAATTAGGAATCAGATAAACATGGATGATCCAACAGCGAGGTTTATTTTTAGTTATTGGGCATCTCTGTTTATGTTTTCAGTATATAACATATTTTTCATCTGTTAATGCAGTTCATTAAGACTGAATCTGAGGAGGAATAATAGTGGAATTAGCAATGAAGGATAGGATGGGTGAGTTTGGGAGAGGGAGATAGCATTAATATGAAAATTGGAGCAGGTTGAAAATTGTAATCATCTTTGGAGTTCAAAAAGTGGGTAGCAACAGTAGCTCAAACTTAAGAAGTTGATGGTGTATTGTAATGAGAGTTTAAACTCAGATGTTGTGGCATCTGTTCATTTTGAGATTTAAGTTGGGTGGGGGGGAAAGGGATGCCCTTGCAGCATTTGGGCTGTAGAAATGCAATTGATAGCAGTTAGCTTAGGTTTTTAAGTGTAAGGGGGAATACACTGACAATTCTTTGTGAGTGAAGTTTTGAAGACTCATTAATATTGCTTGTCTTTATGAATGCAGTCCAAGAAATCTAATGATGGAAACATGCACTTATGGTCTCCATATGTCCCAGAAATAATTCCAAGAGTTTCCAAAGTACTGGGGGGGGGGGGGAACCACCCTAGTTGTTCTAGACATGGATTCCTAACTGCTGGGGCAACCTATAGTACAGTAGTTAGAGGAAAACTTGCCTGCTTCTGCAAATTTCCCAATGTATGTTGCCAAGGACAGTTTGTTTTTGGGAGCCAGTTGTTGACTTAACTCCTGAAAGAGATGTAGGTTTAACCTTCCATATTGCCCTTTGATGTTTTCCCTCCACCTTTAAGACTGACTTCAGAGTACTCACGGTCTACTTTGTTTAGGAATGTGTCTGCAGGAAGATCCAAACCTTGTTTAACTGTGCATGTGTTTAAGGACAAGGGTGTAAGCACCTCCTGTACTGCCATCCGTATTGTTGTAACTTCAAGCGAATATCTAATCCTGAATATCTAATCCTGAATATCTAATCCTTGCTGCGTGGGCGGGATGCAGCTCTTCCTCCAAAGCTGCCTGCTGGGAATCGATTCAAAGCAGAAGAGAGCAGAGAAAAGGGTTTCTAGATTTTCCTGCAAGCCGCCTTGTCTTTCAACAACAAACAAATTCCGTCCTGGTTAAGTTTTCCTCTTTTGCCAGCTTTGAGGGGTGCCTGTTTATTTTATGTTTATGCTAAGCCAGGATAGTCTATCACCGTGTTTCTCAACCTTGGCAATTTTAAGATGTGTGGACAAGTTACACAGACCCTTTCCCAAACAGGCAAATGGCTATTGGCTTGTTCTACACAGCTTGCTTTTTTTTTTTTTTTTTGCCTGTGAATTGCAGAATTGACTCTATACTTAGAGTAGTTCTCTACTTGGGAGTTTAAACTTTTTTTAAAAATAATGCTGCTTCTAGCATGTTGTGCCACAAAAGAACTGTGGATGTAGGTTTCCTGGCTGCCTAGATTTTATCAGCTGGTCTTGGAGTTTAGGCACTTCCTTAGAATACAATCACGTTTACTTTCTGGAATGTTTGCTTTTATTGCAGTGATAAGGGTTTTAATAAAACTATTTGAGTTTCAGGATAGCAGTTCTGTATATAGAACAGACTGTGGGTGTCCTTAACAAGAATATGCTCTTTGTGTGTTTCTTTGTCTCCACATAAACTTGGCATTCTGTCTTGTGTCAGGGGGTTTAAAAAACACGACTCCAAAATACCCTCTTTATTTTTGTTGGGCAGGAAAAATTCTTCCTTTGCTGTTCATCTTACTCATTTTCTAAAGACATATCCTTCATGTAGAGAAAACAAAATCTCTTCCTCAGATTTGATACCACCTGTCTTATAGGTGTTATAGGGGAGTGTTTCTCAACCTTGGCAACTTGAAGATGTATAGACTTCAAATCCCAGAATTCCTCAACCAGCAATTCTGAGAGTTGAAGTCAACACATGTTCAAGCGCCAAGGTTGAGATTTGAAAAACACTGCTAATGGGAGTTAAAACTCAGCCGCATCTCTATTCAATTTATATAGCTGCCTATATCACATAATTCTGGGTGGCTCAGAGACTATCTGGACCTTTGAAATCTCCAGATGACCTAGTCTTTTAAAAACATTTTGGTTTGGAAAAAAAAAACGTATGATATTTTTCTAACCAAAACCCTTTATTTCCTACTTAAATGGATTTTGCTTGATGAGCTGTAAAACACACTTTACTATCCAGAGCAGGGGGCTTTTTTGGTTTTATTTTTGGAAAAGAGTATACAGTATTCATTTCTGGAAAATTCCTGTGTGATTTCTGCCAAAGTTGTTGCCAAGAAGTCTGCATAGAATGATAAAGCAAAATGTATGCATAGGAAATGTTGATGGAGAAGCAGTGCTGCTCATGCTGTATTATCACACTTTTTTAAAAAACTTGTGATTGAATTCCTCTAAAATAAGATAAAACACTGCATCCATAATTTCAGTACTTAAAAAGGTTACTTGGTGTGAATCTTTCTGGAGCTGCTAATTTGCTTGAAAACATAATTACATTTAGTATTGAACACCAGATTTACAAATATGGCTGTGTTTCTTTTCCCCAGCAGAAGAGACAAAGGAGCATATAAACAGTTCTGAGACACTTAAGCCTTAAACTCCTATTTATGTTATGGGAAAGTTGTTGCACACAAAGTGACTTTGGTGTGCATATATGTATGAACACATATCTTGTACTTTCCAGTAACACAGGGTTCCCAAGTAATGTTCCCAAACAAAAATTACCACCTCCATTGCAACAAAATTGACATTTCTATACAAGCTTATTGTCATTTATTTCAAGCCTTTATCAATGTGACTTTGGGTCATGCAAAACCATGACACCGCTTAAAGCAAACCACAACAATTAAAAGATGATCAAAAGTAATGAATATGGGGCCTCTCCAGTTAGGAACTTGACTCATTCAAACTCAGGTCCAAGAGGAAGAGGCAAGTCTTAACCAAAAGTCTGCAGGTTGGAGCCAACCATGTATCTCGTGTGCATGGAGGGGAGATAAAAAAAATCCAGGGATAATGTGATGGGCATTTCCTGAAATAGTAGCTCTAACGTCACAGAACCATGGACCAGTATCCTCTTGTTCAGGTCTTTGCAGCTTTTGGTTTCTTTAGTTATTGCCAATATGGCCAATGGGAAGGTGTGGGAATTGCCATTTAGGACAATCTGGGGTTTCTCAGGGATTAGTCTGGGTAGTCTACATATCCCAGAGGAGAGCTGTCCAAGGGTTGCATCAGTAGTTTTCAACCTTGGCCACTTTAAGATGTGTGGCCTTCAACTCCCATGAAGTCCACACATCTTAAAGTGGTCTCTTGAAAAACACTGCTCTACATGAACTGTGGGGAGTGTGGAGAAAAATTAACTGTGGGGTGTTGTGAGAGGTAATACTTCTCTAAGGGAGATATGCAGTTTAGAAATAGGAAATAAATAAATTTAGGTATTGACATTCA